GCATCCCATGGTGGTATGCTGTACATGCACTGTCAGACACTCCCCAAGAGCACCAACACATGGGTGAACTCTATTCTGCAGTACTGTGACACACCAGATAACGGTGATGGCAGCCGGGGTGGTGGTCAGTGGAGCAAACTTACGAACGTCCCGTCGCACTGTATCCATGCCTGGTGTACTCTACATGTAGGTGCTGATGCTATTTCTCTACATGGTGGCAGGCGTTATGGAACAGATCACAATCATGTTAGTACCTATTCTCTAGCTAGCAAGCAGTGGAGCTCTTCTTCATCATCCAATACTAGCCTAGTATTACCTTCATTGCCACTACCATGCAGCGAAGCATCACTTGTCCCATTCCCTGATTCACTGTACTTAGTTGGTGGTATTACTGGTTGTTTTTTCAAACACCATGATGGTAGGTGGGTGTCCACCACTCCACCTGATGGTGTTGAGCTGAAGTTCAGTGCAGCATGCGCACTGTCTGACCATTGCATGGTTATTTGCCCAAGCACTGCCTCTGCTGGGTGTGTTGTATATGATATTTCATCTGGACAGGTCTATCCACTACCAGCTATGCCAGAGCACAGATATTTAACTCATTACACCCCATCACTCACACTGTTTGGCAGTACCCTGGTACTCAGTGTAGGTGGACCTGACAGTCCTGGTTCTCTGTACACACTGGATATGAGTGTGTGAGTGTAGTAGGTTACTAACTACAGTCAATCACTGATGATAACTACAGTATGTAAACTGTACTGCTTTTCACTTTCTTTCTATTATCAGAAAGTTGATAATCTTTGTTTCTCTCTGTCAAACTATTTTTTTCAACCAAAATCACTATCTAGCCTATCTAACCACTGTCTCTGCTCCACCTTGCCCCTGGTACTGTCCCCTGGTACTGTCCCCCTGGTACTGTCCCCTGGTACTGTCCCCCTGGTACTGTCCCCCGGTACTTATTTTTCTCACCCCACACCCTCTACTCTGTTATCAGCCCTCATAAGAGTTGTGTTCATCACTGTTGAGGCTTCCGATGGAAAATAAAAGAATACTACTACTGCTACTACTACTACTATTGTCCCCTGGTACTGTCCCCGGGTACTGTCCCCGGGTACTGTCTCCTGGTACTGTCCCCTGGTACTCTCCACGGGTACTGTCCCCTGGTACTGTCCCCTGGTACTGTCCCCGGGTACTGTCTCCTGGTACTGTCCCCTGGTACTGTCCACGGGTACTGTCCCCTGGTACTGTCCCCGGGTGCTGTCCCCTGGTACTGTCCCCTGGTACTGTCCCCGGGTACTGATAGAGGACACAGGCTAGATACATGTATGTAGATAATCTGTACCGGTATGTGTGTGTGTGTTGTGTTGTGTTTATTTTAATTCGCAAACCAAACGGGCAGATCAGCCCGATGAAAAGGTGGCGAATGCAGATAGAAAGCACTAGTTAATGAAATTGGGGAGGGATTTAATAAGGATAGAGGTGGAGAGAAACTAAGCCAGCTGATCATCAAACAGGACGTCTGGTACTCTAGGTACTAAGGGTGTGCGGGATCATGCTGGCACGGAACTGGCGGAGCGTGGAGATGGCACGTATATCGCTGGGTAAGGTGTTGCACAGCTGGGCGCCCCGGAACGCGAGGCAACTATTGCCGAACCTGGTGCAAACTGGCGGTTGGCGCAGACCCATGGTGGAGTGCAACCTAGTTGGGCCAGCTGACGAAGGAACTAGGAGGGCTTGCAGATCAAAACTTGGGTTCCCATTCCGAGACCTCCAGGCAAGAACGATAAACTTCTGCCTGAATATCTCAGATACTCTGTATGCGTCCAATTTCAGCAGGAGGGTGCGCGCGGAGGTGTGAAAACCACCCTTGCTGCCCCATTCTGCATGACTTGTAGCCGATCCAATTGGTTGGCAGTAAGAAGTGGGGAGAACGCATTGGATCCGTACATCAGGTCAGACATGATGATCGCTTTAAAGTAGAGAACTCGGCTCTGATGAGTCAAGCAGCGACGCAACCTCCATAGTGCTCCGATCCTCTGGGCCAGTCGAGCGATGCTGCGATCAACATGGGGCGTCCATGACAAATCCGAGTCGAGCCTCGGCGGAGCACTCCAAGATACCTGGCCGCAGTGACGACAAGAATTGCTCGACGGTGGTGATCCGTTCCTCGTAGCGGCGACGCTTTTCCTGCTCATTACGCTTGTACACAGCGGGCAAGGCAAACTTGGCGTTGGTAGGGGCGTGGGGGTTGAAAACCCGGACATCAAAGTACGAACGCTCGTACCGACCTCCGCAGACTCCACTGGCACCGATGTCCACGCGGGCGTTGTCTTCAGTTGAACCCGACCGTAGCGTCATCCTCTCACCTGTCAGCTGCTCTAGCAGCGGTTCCACCACAACTTGGTGCGCAACTTCCTTCATGATGGATGCTGTGAGGTCGCGTGCCTCGTTGTGGCGGAGGCTAGGGTAGCCGCCGGTTGAGCAGGAGAGAGCATTGGTCACGGTGAATAATTTACCACAGCTGCCAGCAGAGGGCAACCGCTTCAGAGGCCAGCCATATCGCAACGAAACCGGATCATGAAATGCCCCCTTGGATAGCATGAAGCCAGACATCTTCAGTGGTTTGCATGTCAGCCACGACGAGGCACCCTTCTCCGCCGCCAGCTCCCTGGACCGCTTTAAGTCCGAAGCGATGCTCACTTCCACAGCGATTAGGGTCTCCTTCTCCCTTACGGAGTGGATCCTGCGCACTCTCGCCTTCTTTGCCTTCATGGTGTGGTGAACATCACCTAGGTCCGTGTTTTGCACGATGATCCGCTCCACCAATGGCTGCGTGATGGTCCTGGAGTCATCAAACTGGCTGGCGAGATTGCACGGGTTGATTAGATCCATGCCCCTTAGGCGACAAGGCAGAGCGAGGAGAGTGCGGGTGGTCTGATCAGGAGCGGGGTGTCCTGTGAGCGCCGGGATAAACTCGCCGTGGATAATCTCCTCCAGTGGCTGGAAATTCTCCGTCGCTTCTGGCATGGTGCAAGCGAGGAATGTCCACTTGCCCTTCAGCCCTTGCGAGAACGTTGTGTACGCTGCTTGTGGCTGCGATTGGGCGTACCTGGTGAGGACTTGCAGTTCCTTCACCCATTCCGTGACCTTCGCTGTAACAAACTGCTTGCAGAAAGCAGCAGTGCCCAGTCCCGCACCCAGGTGACCATGGTGACGGCAACCGTCTTGCATGATCGCGATGTTAGTCCCATGGAACACTTCCTCCGCGGTTTTGGCAAACTGTGGTTTCACCAGGAGAGTGGACTTGGAACCATTAATGAAGTATCCGTACTTGTGGCCCTCCTCCTCGAGCATGTTCCATTATACACGCAGCGCATGCATACAGCCTGCTGCTGTGAAATCATCCGCAAACCAGATGTGCTGTGCCGCTGAGCTGCTCGCTGCCTTCTGCATGGGAGGAGCCCAATGGCATACATGGGCATTGCCATCGGGTCTCCCTGGGTGGTGCCCTCCTCAGAAAGAAGACACTCCCCATCGACGAACAACCGTGCGGGAAGCCGGTAGGTGTTGGTGACGGCACCCGCGATGGCCGGACAGAGGTGACGGATGTTGTGTAAGCACACACTGCGGTTCAGCCTGTTAAACGCATTGCTCGCGTCTGCTAGGAGGACTGCTTCGGTCTCTTCCTCGTTCCACAGGTGCTGCATTGCGTGGATTGCTGCTTCCACACCACATTCTTGGCCGCCACACAGCTGAAGCAACCCGACCGCCTGCTGGATCTGCTCTCCGATCATGGTGAGGATGGCTTTGCCTACTATCCTTCTGAGGACTTCACATATGCCGATTGGGCGCACCCCGGGCTTCTTATCCAGAGGCACCAAGCGGCATGCCGTGAATGACTCCAGGGAAACTGGGTCGATGATTCCGGTGGCGATGCGCTTGGCGCAGGCGGCGATGCTATCACATAGCTGGTCGGAGGACGCTCCGAACGAGGTGCACAAGCGTTTCCAGCTGGTAGATTCCATGCCTGATGGGCCCGCTACTTTTGTCCTTAGCACCAATTGCCGAATTATGTCTCTGTTCAGAGCTTCGAACAGCACCGGGTGCGGCAGTTCAGGACAGGGCCGATGATGAGGGCATCTGCATGCATGAGTTCCGTCGGCGGGTGCTTCTCTTTCAGCGTTTGCCTCACGGTTTTACCATCCGCGGAGGAGTCCAGATTTAGCAGCCCACCCGAGGGCGTTGCTGTCAGGGACTGGAGAGCTGCGCCCAGTTTACCATTAATGAGTGATGAGGGTAGCGAAACGTCGCGCGTAGTCTGGACTTTGGGCCCTTTTCCCAGCACGTTCCTTGGTTAGTTTGCGCTGGATGGTGCGTGCTTCCCGGACGAGTTCATTGATGTTTCCCTCGTTCCAAAGCTGCATTCGTCGGTTCAGACATTCCACATGCACCTTACGTGTCAAGCAGTTGACCGGTTGTTGCAGTAGAAGACTGTGGCAGACCTTAAGTGCCTTCAAAGCTATGCCTTCTCCCGCCGCATTTATTCCGGCACATTGTCCCCCCAAATGTGAACAGATCAACCTAAATCGCGATTGACAGGACCCGAACGCACCAACATGTTGAGGTAGCGAGCGCTCAAGTCCACCACTGACCTGCCATGTGCACCCGATGGGATGGAGAACAGGTTAGGCCGGAAGTGTACGATTTCCTCGTACGCTGCAGCTATGACCTGCCCTGTGTCCTCGGGGCTCAGCTCACCGAGTCTGAGTCGTTGGTCAGCAGGCGGGATTGGCGGTGTTGCAGCCCCCTGCCCACTAGCTGTACCGTGCGCGTTTGTGGGTTCCGGCTCGCTGTTGCTATTGGGCTGCGAGGAGCTCAGGCTCGCTAGGAGGGCGACCTCTTGTGCCGTTGGCAGTCGGTCTTGCCATGGAGCATTGGCTTCATGTGGCCGCACAACTTCTCCACAGTAGTCGGTCTCCGAAGGTGTTGGTGTGGAGGCATCGAGAAGCTCCCATGCTACCTTTTGCGAATTGGAAATCGGGTCGGCGAGGTGGCGTTGTTCCAGGGTGTCCCACACCAGCTGCTGCGAGGCCGACACTTGGGTAGTGCCATCTCGTCCTTGGTCCTGACCGTCGACACAGAGCTCAGCGACGTGGAGCTGTTCCAGTGCGTCCCACGCCAACTGCTGCGAGTCCGACACCTGCTTGGTGCTATCTAGTCCTTGGCACTGACCGTCGGTGTGGAACTTGTCCAGAGGCGGAGAGTCTTGAGCCGACTGTTGCGACACGTGGGCTTCGCCCAGGGTTGTCGGTCTCCGCGTGGGGGACGCGGCGGCTGAAATGTATTGTATGGTTCGAAAGCCTACAGGACTGGCTCTCGCCGCGATGGTTTGCGAATTTCGGCATCTTGCCCTGTTCCCGGGCCCGCAATACTCGCATAGCTTGCCAGCTTCTCGGCAACAGCAGTCTTTTCCGCACTTGGAATTGCCAGTGCACTGGCAACACTGGCCGTCAGGAACGCCAGTCGCGGGGTTGCCCTTTGCGGGCATCACTGTGGAGGGAGCTACCAAGTCTAGTCCATCGGCCAAGTCTCAAAATCGAAAGTGGTGATGCACTGAGCTTCCAACTAAACGCGACCATACCCAGCACGCAGAGAATATATCAGAGAACACTATTCCGTTTGTTGGACGTGCCGAATTCAGTCCAGGGCGTCGATACGAAGCGTTCTTCGTCGCCGAGTTTTTTACTGTGCGCTCCATTTGAGAGTGCGCAGAGTTCTGATCGAGAGTTTTTTGAGCAGATTTTCAGAGAGCATGTCTGAGAAAACCAGAACATATGTGCAAGTCGATCTCTCAGATTTCGCTCAAATTTTGCAGGTAGGTTTGCTTTGGGGTGTAGATCGACATTCCAAAGCCCGCACAAAATCTTTTGAAGGGAACCATGAAATTGGCATACCCCTCAATATTGGCCCAATATTGGCACGATTTATGGGTCTACAAACGAGCCACGGCACAGCGTACAAGAACAAGCTACGAACAAAACTCCATCAAGCCATCATTACCTCACC